ATAACCGGGTGGGTTTTAAAAAAAAAATTTTATAAATTTTATAAAATTTTATATATGAAATTTTAAAAAAAAAAGCCAGCCGGCCGGGTCTATTTAAAAGTTTCATGTTATGAAAACCAAGTAATTAAATTTGTATGGCCTTATGCAAAAAATTCTATAAAAATTTGTATTTTTGCAGATTTTTGCATTTGCACTTATTTAATTTTTTTAATATAAATATTAAAGTTTTTTAAATAAGGCAAAAATAAAATAGAGACCCGTCACTATACGACCCTTATATAATTGACTAATCATCTTAGAGATTAGCGATCTTATAAATAATTGTTTTTGTTTTTTTTTAAACATATATTTTTTTTTAACACAAATATATTTTTTTTAGAGCTGTCGCTAGAGTCATTGCAGCCATTGTCGCAGCTGTAGTTGGAGCCTCAGAACTGTCTTAAAGTCATGTGGATTTCTCGTTACTTTGGTGATTTGGTAGGTTTTTTTCCATTTTCTTTTGTATTTTTTTCATAGTTTTCATTGTTGTTTTTTTCTCATATTTTTTGTGGGCTCTTCGTCATTGAAGCCTCAGAACTGTCTGTCTTGAAGTCACATGAATTTCTCGTTACTTTGGTGATTCAGGTAGATTTTTTTCATTTTCTTTTGTATTTTCTTTGTAGTTTTCATCTCTTCATCATTGGAGCCTCAGAACTGTCTTGAAGTCATGTGGATTTCTTGTTACCTTGGTGATTCGGTAGGTTTTTTTTCATTAAGTTCTTTCGTATTTTCTTCATAGTTTTTGTCGTCATCTTTTCTCAATTTTTTGTAGACTCTTCGTCATTTTCAGTGGTTCATTTAGGGCTCTTCGTCATTTTTTTGTGGGTTCTTTCAGTAAATTCGTTGTTTCTTGGTGTTAATCTTTGTTGGTTTTTCACTGGATTCGTCGTCAGTTTTCTTCGGTAAATTCGTCATTTTTCGGTGAGTAGGTTCACCGTTTTTAGCGGGTTTTCTTTGTCGTTTTTCAGTAGGTTCTTTTATAAATTCTTTGTCATTTCTTCCAGTAAGTTTTTTTTTTTATTTGTGTTTTAATGTGTCTCTGCCTCAGTACGTAGGTCTTCGTATTATTCTTTGGTTTTGCCATCTTCGTCGCTTTATTCTTTGCCATCTTTGTCACTTATTCTTTAGTGCCATTTTTGTCTTCATTCTTGTCCGTTTTCTTGCCATTCACATTCTGTTTTCTTGTTTTTCTCATCCTGTTTTCTTGTGCCTATTCCGTTAGTTCTAAAAAAAAACAATAAATTAAATAAATTAATAAAAAAAAAAGATTAAATTAAATTAAAAAAAACCCCAATAAATTAAATAAATTAAAAAAACTCCTGATAAGTTAAATTAAATAAAAAAAGAAACGATAAATTAAATAAAAAATTGACAAAAAAAAATAATTTAGAGCTTGAAACCAGTTTATTTTTATATGTTAAACCCGGTTTTAATGCTCTTTTTTTAATAAATTTTTACAAGTGTATGTAATCGAATTTGATTGGTCGATCACAGAGTCGCCATAAAATAATGCCCTTTAAATAATATATTTAAAATAGATTATTATTGCTTTAAAATAATTTATTATTTTACTATACTATTTTTTATTTATTTTATTAATTTTATAAATATAAAAATTTTTTATAATTAAACCTATTATTAATTAATTATTTAAATCAAACTATTTAAACTTGCAAATATTTTATTATTTTTGTATACTAATTTAATTATTAAGTACAAAGTTTTTAAATAATAATACAATAATTATATAACTACTTTTTTTTTTTTTTTTCCTTTGGTAACCTCGTACTAATTTATTAGAATTCTTGCAATTTACAAAATTAACTATCTAATTTATGTATTAGGCATTACCTGGCTGCTATAAAAGTGTCCAAGTATGGTTATTTCACTGATGTTTGCCAACAAGCTCTACATATAGTGCTATTTGCATTTAAAAACCTGCTATAGCTTGGTACTTAGCTACCTAAGTTTGAACCAATTATATTTTATCTTTCTTCTAGACTTATTCCACCAATGTTCAGGCAGAATATATTTTCTTCTACTTCTGCATAGCACAAACATATATGCCAATTTACAAAAGAAAGACTTCTTTTAAGAGC